CTCCGCCTTCCTCTCGGAGAGCTTCCGGCACTCCTTCCACGGCGTGCTGCGGCGGTGCTGCGACGCCCGCTTCTGCTGCTCCCACCCCGGCCTGGACCCCGCCGAGGAGGAGGAGGAGGAGGAGGCGCTAGATTACTGTGCCATCCCCAAGGCGGGGGAGACGAGCCAGGGCTGCATGTGCCTGTCTCTGCGGTGCCACCAGGAGCCGGTGCACCCTGACCCCTGCTGTAAGCCTGGCACCCTCCTTGCGAAGACCACCACCTTCTAGGTGGCACCATTCGCCCATGTGTCCTCCTCCCGGGGACCCCTGCCTTTGGAAAGGGAGGGTCCTCCTGGACCAGGCCCTGCCTTGGCAGCACTGGCTTCTTCTACTAAGCACCATTGCCCTGCTGTAGAAACAGGCGCACGGGGTCAGTCAGGAAGTCCTCAGCGTCAGAGGGCTGGCTCTTCCCTTCGGGCTGCGGCTGGGGTGGGGCTTGGACGGGGGCCGGGGGAGCTGGCGCAGAGACTCCACTCGCTCTTTTCTCTTTGGGCGCCTGGGCTTGTTTCTTGGTCTATTGCTTCTGCCGCCGGAGAGGTCCCTGGCCACTGAGACCTCAAGGACCATGCTTGGGGGCAGGAGCCACTTGAGGTGGCAAAGGGCGGGGGCAGAATCTGACCCGGGGAATGAAGATTCTCTTAGCCACTCCCATGCTGGGTATTTGATCTCGGGGCAGGTGTTTTCTGTTGCGCCTCTGTGCTTCTGGGCCTGGATCTTACTGGGATTAGGCTCAGCTCTAGTGCCAGAGAGGGAGCGAGAGAAGGGACCTTCTTTAATCGTGACCAGCTCTCGGCCGGGGACGTGCCATCCTTAGCAATTGATGGCCCGCTTTCCCAAAGGGCCCAGCTCCCAGTAAGGACAATGGGGGCTGTGGGACCCTTTTGAAAATCTGCCCATTAGCCTCACGTTTCTCTGATGGGAAAGGAGTTTGCAGAAAGCACCCCGAAGGATGGCAGCCCCGCTGCGCTGATGTAAGGCTTCTACGTTAGGACCGAGAGTTTTGCCAACAACATGACCCTACCCAGGCTCTGGACTTTTTAAATGCTTGAGGTTTTAAGAGCTCCCTAGAAAGAGCACAGCTGGGAGGACTGCGCTGCCGTTGTGCCAGCAATGATCCAATCTGTAACTGTGCCGTGCAGTTTGGAAAAATAAAGAACCGTACTATTGGCCTGGAACGTGGGTATTATTAACCCTCGGTATGACATCATGGGGATGTTCTTGTTGTTTAAATAAACGGCCTTCACAACATACAAGATCTTTAGGCACCGAAAGGGGGAACCAGAGTCTAAAATGGATTCCCAGGATCTGGCAATAAATCCTAACCAGGAACTGGCTCCAAAAGCTTGGGGAGTTGGGAATTTTGCTCAGTCCTCCACTCATGGGGAGCCGGTGAAGGTAGGGCTACAGTAAGCAAGCCCCCACCCCCGCACCTTCTGACCAGACCACTGCCCCCAGGGGAGCCAGGCCGCCTCCCCGTGCCCACCCCCAGCACAGGGAGGGTAGGCGGGTGGGCGCACAACCCAGCCTCCTTGGCCCCGAAACAGGAGGAGGGTGGATGCTCAGGGCAGCAACACTCCGCTCCCTGGATGCCGACAGTAGGGTGGAGTGTGGGAAGGGCCAGGCTGGCGGTTTGGGAAGGCAATACCTCCCCTTGCCTCGGATACCGGTTGCCCCTCTCTCCACCGACGTCCTGCATTTTAGGTGCAGACACACACTTGTTCTCATTTGACTTTCTTTACAATTCTCTCGGTTCCTAAAAAGGCCGGCTCCCGGCAGTCACTGATCCTGACGTCCT